TTCATTGATTATTTTTTATGTCCCAGATACTATTCTTAGGGTTTAACATGCATTATTTCATTCAATTCTGACAAGACCCCTATGAGGGAAGTACTATTTTTATTAGCCCCAATTTAAACTTAAGGAAATTAAGGTTTAGAATGTCCTACTTTAAGCACCTGGTAAGGTGTGGATCGAGAATTTCAGAATTCTACAATTTCTGCATGACAGCAATTTACATTGTAATACAGAGTACATTTCTCTTAATATTTACTTAGCAATACAATACATTTCAAAAGACTCATTGGATATCATGAAAATTGATGGTACAAATCCTGTATTACTTGTCTGTGAAATTAAAGCATGGCCATGGTATCAGAACTGTATATAAAAAGCAGATTTTAAATATTGTTAATGCTTTTAAGTCAAATGGATGTTTTAAGTTCTAGAATGGTATATGTTAAAAGTTCATAAATCATTTATCACTAAAGTAATATCTCTGTTAACTTATCAAACGAAATTATAAGATACAGATGTGAATAAAATCCCTTTAATAAAAACTATGAATCAAACATGTGAATTTGTATTTCAAATAAACAGGAGAAAATTCCTAAATTTTTCTTTTCAGAAAATGTAATTAAGCAATATAAACACAGCAAGCAAATCACATTTCTATAATATCATCATGTTTTTTACAGTTTTGATGATATAAACTCTATGCTTTCAACCAGAAAGAACATTTCGAAAGCAAAAAAGATATGACTTCTGAGCCAAATAATTATCCAGACACCCTCAATAAAATAAAATGTGATTAGTTCTGCAGCAACTAATATCTATACACTGAAGTCCAGAACAGACTTTAAAGAAGTAAGTAGTATAGCTGAGGAAAGACAAAAGTAATATCAAGATCCAACACGCTCGTCTAACCTCTCTGACTTAATATCTTAGAGATTCAGCTTCTTAGCAAAGTTGAAATGATTAAATGAGAAAGTGAAGGGCCATCATTTCTTAACATCTAATGCAAATTACCTACAGTGATCTATGGTGAAACTCAGCAACACATGTACATAAAGCAAAGTCATACAAAAAATTAAAAATGTAAAAACATTTCAGGATATAATTTTACTAACTTTCTCACATATATTGTAAAAAATTATAATCTAAATTTTTAAATGACTATCTTCTTTACTTAGAAAAAAAAAGTTCGTTAGTTTTCATTCAAGTTCTAACTTAAAGACAAATTTTCAAAAGGTAAATTTGACAAGAAATCAGAATTATATATTTTAAAGTAACTGCAAAGGTCTGTTTTAAAACACTATATTACTTAATTATTAGAATTTCTTCATGTACTCAGAGAATTATGAGAAATTCTTCATGTATTCATAGATTTAAGAAGCATGTGGCTTTGGAAACAGAATTACTTTCTTCAAGGTCAAGAAAGGAGCTCTTATATCAATTAACAAAGATTGTGATCAGTTGGTACAGTTACTCACTTTTCTCATTATCCTGGAATAAGCATCACAATGATGTGCTAGACAGCCCCCAGATAAACTGCGCTTTAAGTGGCTAATCAGTCACATTTGGCTAGGGACATACCAGCATCCCCTCTCAAGACATCAGTGTTCCTCAATACGGGACTGGATTTGTTTTCCAACTCTTAACAGGATCATTGAGAGGGAACAGGAGGAATATTATAAAGGCAAGCCTGGATCAAATCCAGAACCAGGCACCCTCACAGCCATGCGCTGGAACCCTGCCAAGGAGCAGAGTGTTTTCGCAAATGAGCATAGTTCCTTCCTCAAGTATGTCACCAATTCATAAAACCTACGAAAGTTTGGTCCTGAACAACAGGTCACTCATTTACAATGCGGCAAATATAAGGCCATATAGAAGCATCTTCCTTCTTCGTGCTTTTAGAATGGAAAGAATACCTACTGTCAAAATGCAGTTCCACCTATGACATGGCAGGACTTCGTGCGGATAAAGGCGGATGGGTTTTACTTTAGTTTTAGGTACTACCGTGGAGTTCACAGGTGACAGTAATTTCAGTTTTCAAATTTTGCACTAATTTCTTAAAACCAAAATAATTATTTGTAATAGCACCATGTTTAGCAGAATGATTTTGGTCATTTGGAAAAAACTGAGGCCTTTTCTCATGGTAAAATATACCTGCAAACTACAGGTAAAGATATGTATTAAGTTCTCCATATAAATATGTACAATTCAAATATATCCTGCTAAATTATACCAAAAACAAAAAACAAAAATTGTAACTGTAACTTTCATTTAAAAAAAAAAAAACCTTAATTCTTAAAAGAACAGAACCTTTAAAATTATTTCCTAGTCTTCTATCGGACAAATTAATTATGACCTTGTACATATGCATTCCTGCTTTGCTACTTCTTTCCCATTTATAATTGTGCCAAACTGAAATTCTTCTCTCACATCAATTCAGTGATTAGCATTAGCTTTTATTTTACAGGGGAAAAAAAACTGTACTGTTGCTGTCCAAATATTTAAATAACTGGTACAGCTGGACTCAACATTACTTTCCAGTAGCTGTTGCTATCTCCTCCTGGAGAAGAACATGGCCATTCATCTGATTAGTTCACTAGGCAAATGATTATATTTCCCCAGGAAGATCACATTCTGCCAAGGGAGGACGGCAAATTTTTGTATCATTGTTCTAGTTCGCATATATGGAATCCTAAAGACTTTCTGACTGACTACTGTCATGAGAAATGAAGGAGGATAGTGGATGGGAGGGGCAAAAGAGGATGCTGTGTTTGCTAATGGGACCTAAGCCTACAGAAGCTCCTTTCGTTTGCTCAGAGTTCACTTTACAGTGTTATCTACGGTGCAGATAATAATTGAGTGCTGGGGAAGGACTACTTTATATCCGTCCTGGTAATCCACATCATGGATTTAGCTCTTCAAACACGGCTGAAAAACACAAAGAGTTCAGCTTTATCATCCAAAACGTGTGTCCAGTAAGAGTACAACGTGAGTCATAAATGTAAGTTTTTAACGTATCACCTAGCTGTGTCAAAAGGAAAGAAATAAACATTTAGTTTTTTTTTTCTTTAAAAAAACCAAGGTCTCACTGTATCTCATTGTACAGCCTTGAGTGCTGATGCAGACTTAGCTGGACTTAGTCTTGTCACTTCCCGCCTCTGCCCTCAGAGGGCTTGAATAACAGACATACACAACTGCACCTTACGTAACATCTGTATAGGTTTGACGCAATGGTAGATTTAACCCAGCACACCTAAATTTAAATTATTATTTCAGAATATATTGAATATTGATAATTTCTAATTGTGTATATTTTCTTTTATTCCTTTGAAACTCAGTATGCAATTTCTACTCACAGCAGGTCTTGATTTAGAATGGCCATTTTTTAAAGCCAAAGAATCATACTGTAACTAAATGAATTATCAGAAATATAAATTTTGTTTTGACTGTCTATCTGTTTGTGTTGAGACAGGGTTTTAGCAGGGAGCTCTGCCTGGCCTGGAACTCACTATGTAGACCAGGCTGTCCTTGAACTTGAGTATTCATCTGCCTCTGCCTCCAGAGCACTGGAATGAAAGGCGCAGACCACAACTCTTTGTTTTGGATATCTAAGTATTTTTAAACTATCATTTATTCTTTAAATGTTCTTATAAAATTGGAAAGTAAGAATGTAATTCACATGGGACATGGGACAACTTGCTACTATGTGGGAAACATTAAGATCAACAATGAAAAATAGTATTTGTTAGGATTCTACATGCTTTATGAAGGAGATTACTATAGTAATGTTGCTAAAAATGTGGGCCCAAGAATACGAGTATGTGAAGTCTGAATCTAGACTAACACAATTATTACTACTGTAACAGTAAGTGGCCTATTTGTTTTCCACAGACGCCCTTTTCCATTGTGTGAAACAGGACAAGTCCACCTACCTCAGTAAACAGGTACATAGAAAACAGAAGGGTGAGTACCCAGAGTAGCTAGCAGACAATGCAGATAGTTATAACAATTACTAGCTGGAGCTATCTTTAACCTAACTAGTCATTGTAAATATTGGAGTTATGCTGCTACTTTAGCAGTTTAAGGAATACATAAAAGTCATTTTACAGACTATATTACGCTTTGTAAAAAAATGCTCATGAGTCATATAACTTTGCATATTTTTCAGAACCTACATTGCAAAAGATGGTACACATGTTGCTATTTTAAATTTTTAAAATTGGCCAATATTTAATCACATAATGCTAATTAAGAGAAAATTGAGTTTTAGAAGTAAAAGGATTCCTGAAAATATACACTATTGTTGTTCAAAAACAAATATGAACAATTCAATTGCTGTATTGTGATAACTCAAACTTTACTTCAGACCTCTTCTACAAGATATGATCCACTACAGCATGACTTATCAGAAGAACACCCATTTTATTCTTTACTCCAGAAAAGAAGGACACCATTGAGAAAAGTAACTACAGAGAAAAATGAAGTGAAATGGTAATTTCGCATCAAACTTCCCTTACTTATGAATGATAATTTTAAATATCTGTGCTCTATTTGTTAATACTTGAGCATTACTAGGGTTCCTCTTTGTAAGCTCCTGTTCCTTCTATTTTGCGCTCATTAAAAGCTCAGAGGATCAGGGCTTCAGAGTGGAAGAACCCTATCTCCTTGAATGCCTACTGGCATTCCCTCCGTCCTCACCGGCTGAAGTCCACTTGCCTGGTTGCTTCTTTTAAACCTCACAGCCCAGTGTGCAACTGCTTCCTTCGAGGTTAGCAAACGTGTTAAATGGGAAAAATAAAATTTACTGACAATTGTTGTCATCATTACTATTTATTGCATATCACTAGTGAAGATACCACCATACATAGTAGTTTTATTTGATAGTGACTTTTAAGATAAAATGAACTGGGTAACTGGCCTAAAAGATTTACTTATTTGAATATTCGTTATTGTCTAAAGTATCTGGTAACTAAAAATTTCAGATTTAAATAACAAATGTTACTTACGTTCACACGTGTCCCCTTTTTGCTGATAGCCTGCTTTGCAGATACATTTTCCAATGGGTACTAACCACTCTCCTTCTGCACTGCAATGCATCCTGGGTGAATTTTCTGCCTCTTCCTCGGCACTGCTGACACATGTCCCACGAACCTCAACTAAGGAGGAAAATTCTGAACCAGTCACTGTATCTGGAAAGACAGCTAAGTTCTCAATAATGGACCAGCACTTCTTGTAGTATACTTTGACAGAAACCAATGCTATGCAAGCCCCTACATCCTGAAAGGCAAGATAGAATCCCTTTTTGGACAAAGGTCCAATCTCTCTCACCTCAGTGTTCAGCTTCATCTTTCTTTCACCAAGGTCACCTTGGGTAAAACTTTCATCTGCAGCAATGGTGTCTATTTTTACGTAAAGGTTTTCTCTTATATTCCTGCCGGTGTCGTAGTCTGTTTCATAATAGTACAAATTAAAGGTTTCCTTGCACGTTCCCAGCACTCCGGGAAGACTATTACAATCCCTCAAGGTGAATTTCAATTCTACAAAAATCCTTTGTGCGTTGCCTTTAGAAATCCAGTTAGTCCGCAGCCAGTTGTTCTGGTTGGGCTCCATGACCTGGCACACCTGGTATGTTCTTATCGGAGTGTAGTTCTCATCCAAACCACTAATTTCTTCCCACTGTAAGTTTTTTAAAAAGGGGGGAGAGGGTCCATTAGTCTTTCAGCAAAAATAAGAATGAAAACTTACATTGTATTTCCCCAATAATATGAAGAATAAGCACAGTACCACAAGTAAGGATTCCTGAAAGTCAGAGAGGGTAAAATCCCACTCTGCAGCATTTTAGGAACAGAGTATCATTTGTATTTGGACATACAATGAACATTTCATTGTTTCACATCTGCTGGGAGCATCCTAACATCTCTTTTCAAATGTAAGTCTGTAGTCTCCTGTGTGACTGCAATTTTAACAGGCTAAGGCTAATGATTCTTAAAATCACCCCTCAAAGTGTATAGATGCCGGTCAGAACTCCTGATAACTCAGTTGACATTTTAAGTGTTTGTTTTATCCTTAAACCCAAAGATGCCTACAAACATGAGGAACAAGATCCCAAATATACTGGAGTGTTAAAAACATGAAACAATGTGTTGAAATTTACAATGTGGAATAATTTGCAATCTTTTGAAAAGGAAACATTTCATAGAGCTACTTATTTTCCAGCATCATATATAAAATTGTACATAAAGCCATATATAATTATCAAGTAGATTTGACAGTAAAATTCACCCTTAGAAACAAATTGCTTTAAGTAGCCAACCAAATATATATGTCAAATTAGCAAGCTATGCATAAATTGTTTTAAAATGCCCATTTATCTTCTGATACAAAATGTAGTACAAGTGAACTCATTTATACTACTTCACAAAAAAGGGAAGACAGATCAGCAACAAATTCAGAGATGATTGGATCATGTATATTACTTATTGCTCATAGCAAACAAGTTCCGCATATCTAACAGCTTTAAAGGCTTCAGTAACAGCTCTTTATGTCCTCTCTTACTATTATTGAAATTTTCCCCAACTCACATTATGATACATTAATAATGAAACTGTCATCGACTTGTTCTGACTTTCCCAATTAGAAATGCCAGATGTAAAATATTGTGTATTTTAGATCGTAAGTCCTATAGCATCTGATAAACTATTAATTCAAAAAATGTAGATGGGAAAATATGATAATATACATTGGGTAATGATGTTCACTTGTAAAATCTAATCAAAGTATCAATTTGTTTAAAATGCTGCATGTATTTTTAAAATCATTCTTATAAAATTAAAAGAACTGATGAATTGAAGAATACTGCAACTCAGAAATGTCTCGTGAAAGAATTAGTCATGTTGTATTTACTACAAATTTATTATACCAGCCTAATATAACCAAATGTCCTCAAACAGCAAAAAATTGATTTTCATGTATGCTTCTTGGCATACATTTTTTTTCACTGTATAACACTGTACATATTTTCCATTTATTTCTTAGCTGTTTATATTCTATCTGTATGTAACTAAGGCAAATATCTCAGATCTTCCACTGGTAAATAGATTTTTGTCTCCTAAAATGAACTGAAGTTATTAAAAGGAAGGGAAAAGAGTTATGGTGTCTACCAAAAAGCAAGAGCTGCAAAGCAAAATGTGCCCTTCTGACCAGACTTCAGCTTGGAGAAATCAAGGCTGATTATTCTGAAAGACTAATCTGAAGAAATCACACACTTAATTTTAAGGGTAATTATGTCATTCCAGATATGAGAAATAAATTTTGTTACCCATGAAATAGATCTTTTTCAAGAAAGCCACGAAAGCTAATAGTCTCAGTATTTGATATTTATGTCACTGTTTTTATTACACACTTTTTAAGACTGAAAACATTTCACAAACGACACTATTGGGAGAGATGTCTCAATTCAGACAATGAATTTTATAAATATTGTAAAGTATTTTTATAATGGTATAAAATATTTTCCCATTACTCAGCAACAATACTGCTCTATGTAAACCCATGTGAGCAAGTCTGTGTCATGTAAAAAGAAATGCTGTGGATATATATATATATATATATATATATATATATATATATATATATTCAGACTTTAACTTGAGATTCTCTGGACTGATGAAATGCCCATTTGAGTCCAAAATAAAATTGACAGTCATAATTTATCATGTTGTGGATTACATGGATGAAGTACTGCAATCATTTATCAGTTTACTTCTTCTCAGAGATAAAACCATCTTCTGTATCTATTTATTTTAATTGATGGATGGTAGAAAATGGGTTGCATCTGTCATTGGCAAGACCTTATTTTTTATCTTAACCATGAATATCTTTCTACAATGTACATTTTCTAATGGAAACAATTTCACATACAAGGAAATACCACAAATTCAGTGGACTTTTAGATTGAATTTATAAATGATTTGTCACTTTCACAGAATTTCTAAGGCCAATAAAGATAACTAGAATATGATCTCAGAGAAAATTTCTGAAATTTTAATTTAACGAAAACTCTGAATACTTCAAACATGCTTAAAATGTCTCGTTTTATTATTAAATGAGAAGTTCTCCAAGTGACTTCTGCTCATGCTATGTGGAGTCTATGATTTTGCTCCTGCACTTTCCTTCTTATTGTAAAATCAGTTGAAAGTGTTTCTATCTTCATTGATATTTAATGCCCCTTTAACCCCACATTTCTTCATGCATTAAAGATAAATTTAAGTTACAATGCATTGTTTTTCCTTTCTCAGAGTCCACTTACTTTATCAGAAATAAAATTTTGTCCTATCTCACCATCAGAAATGACACATAAAGATGATATCAAACTAAATGTGAGTAATATACCTTTCTGAATATATGAAAAAGGTAAAAACAAAAGAAAAGAAAACATTTAAGGTTCTACTCAGACTAAGACAGTCTTAATTACTATTCAGTCACATTTACTGCAGCTGAATTTTGCTGTAAAATGGATATATTTCTGTCATCACTTTTGATCACTAACAGCAGATAGCACAACACAAATGTTGAGAATCTAACATTTTGCAGCAAATCTTATGTTTCAATATTGTCCTACAGTTTCAGTTACCCTCTGGAGTCTACTTTGGGCAATGTTAGAACTATTTTTAAAAGACGAAAACAGGTTTCATACTGTTTTAAAAAGAATTACACAGTTTCTACCCAGTGATTATTACACAGGAGCATAAGGCAACTGCAGAGGCTTAAGTGAGTTTGTGAAAAGATTGTTCCCTGCAATTAGTTAGCATTTATAACCTGAATGTGCAGGCATGACTGATGCCACTCACAAGAAGAACTCAAGGACCATGGGCTTGGTTTATTTTTTTTTTCCATTTCCCAGAGTTCTAAGTATACTTTCTATATTCTGAGAATTCAATATATCATGAGAAAACAAAACAATGAACAATATATTGAAGTTTTAAACATTTTAAATGTATGCATGTGAATCGTTTTCCTAGGGGGAAGCTTTTGTTTCTTACTCTAAACAGATATGATCCTATGGTATGAGAGATGTACCTACCCCACTGGGTGGAGAGGAAATCCATTCCAATTCTGTTTGTTGTGCTTTAGAGTCCAGTAATAGTACTGAAAAAGAAAGTTTTATTTCCAAAAGTTACAAGAAAATTTTAAACACATCTCTAAATATTTTAAGATAAATCTAATTTTCATGAAATTATTACTTTATGACAACCCATTTATGTAAATGAATGGTGCAATGAATAGCTACATTGTATAAGCATATTACACTTTCTGGAGGGCACAACATATTAAGAATATCCATACACTTGGTATCTTTCAATTAAAATATAAAAATAAATTTTCAGTGAAACATTAACATGAAAGTGGGTGTAAAAAGCTAAAATCGGATAAAGTGATTGTGCAATAACAACATACAATGGAAGTCAGTAAGTTCTCCACATTTCACAACATATACCGACGTGAACATAATAACCTAGAATTCCTCACTACTTTTCAGCCAAGCTCTACTTTTTAATATTCTGCCAGCAATATTTTCTAACATCTCTTGACGATTGGAGTCTAATGTTTAAAGAAGAAAGAACTCACAGCACTTTGCCTTCTCCCAAAGTGAATTTAGAAAGCTAAATCCACGTTAAACAATGTTAGCATGAGAAACAAGTCCCTGTTATCTGTAACTTGTGCTTTTAAGCTAGTCAAGCCTCAGCTTCCGTATGTTTTTTTTTAAACTGGAAACATTTCAACATAGTAGCTATTCTCGAAACGGCTTAAACTCTAAACTGACTTCTACAAACAATTGTATTCCATCTTTAGACTATCAAAAGGCATAATTAATATTTATGAAAAGTATGATTAAAGCATTATTAGTATTAATGTAAAAATTCATTAAAATGGTATCTTTTATGACACATTATCCTTTCAATTGGAGATGCTGTTGCTTTAAGATAATTATTCTTATAAAATGCTTACTGATCAAACTGGTTTTAGAGTTACAAAGCTCTGGTGCTTTAAAACAATATACCTGACCCTAAAGCATTTTGACAAATGGTCTATTGGTCCAGAAGTCATTGTGAATATTCTTTACATATGCTTAATATCAACCTGAGGAAAATGTTCACATTTTGACTTGAAAATATGTACTCACATAAACTTCTTAACATCACTTTCAGATTCTAGTTTTAAAAGGTGTGTGTTTTGAAAGGTAAAGAAAAGTGTCTTTAATGTTAAGAGAGCAAACAAGTGACTATATGCTCAGTTCCTTTACAGAACTCAGTTATCCCCAGTAACTGGAAACAGGTAAGTACAAAGACATGAGGTTGCATTGCTTGGTTTTATTGTTTTACGTTTAAGATTGTCAGGGGTAAAAATTGACTCCCTTTCAATTAAAAACACGCGCCACTTGTAAAATTTCAATTTATGTTTTAACTTGGAATACCAGTAAGTCTTTGGTTTAATTACAAGAAAAGTAATTGTTAAAGGCTTTTTTATTTATTTATTTTAAATCCTGACGAAGGGATGAAGCAAGCCCAAAAAAACAAATTGAAGCCACATAACTCTCTTTTGGAATTTATTGTGGGGGAGGGCGCTTCTCTACTGACAACACCCAGTGGATTTTAAGCCTACGTGACCCTTTGGGGTTGATTTTAAGAATGAAATAAACACTGCAATTACCCTTTTCTGCTGCGCCTTTACCCCTGGGCTACTTGGTGGCCAGCAAGTTAGCAGCGAAATTAGCAAATCAAGAAGCCATGGAAGGTGGCCACGGAGCCGGTGATGCATTCGGCGGCTCTGGGGTGTTGAACGCAATCGCCCCCGCGTGCTTCTTCCCTCGGGGCCCACGACACCGAGTCTGCCTCGCCCCGCTCCGGGAGAAGGCACAGGGCAGCTGGCGGCTACGAGGGGTCCGGGGCTGAGGCTCTGCGGCCAGCCGCTCGGCTCCAGTGCTGCCCGAGCGAGCATCGGGGCGGGGCGGGGCGGGGCGGGGCAGCCAGACGGCCGCGCCCGCCAACCTAGCGTCCATTACACTTCCAGACCCGGGACTCCAGGGAGTCGGTGGCGCCCAGCTCGGGCACGAGTCCTGAGGAACAGACCGGCTTTCGGGAAGCGCCTCCTCTGAGGGCGCGGCGGCGGTTGTACTGTCGGAGGAACAGCAGCAGCCGCAATTAGCTCTGCTCTCCCCAGCCACTCCTGCCGGCGTTAGGAAAGCGGGGAAGGGGACTCGGGCGGCCGGCCCCCACCCCAGCCGCCCTAGAAGCCGCGCACCTGCTCGCGGCGCTGCTGGCCGTGCACCTTAGGTGCGGCGATGCCGCGGGCCACCTCCCGGTAGCAGCGCTCCGGGAACGCCATCGCCTGATTGCGCCTGAGCGCCCCGAGCGTCGCCACCGAGAAGATGGGCGCGTTCCCCTCCACCTGCCTCTTAAACATCTCCTCTGCATCTAAAGAACTCGGGCTTGGAGCATCAGAACCCTCTCCACGTAGCACCGGAGGAGGAGAGCGAGCGAGGCCTGCTGGCTGCAAGCACCTCTCCCCCTAGTGATGCAGTTATTTATAGCTCAAACTCCTGCTGGAGTCTGCCAGAGCTCGCGCGCGGCGCTTCGCTGTGCGGGGCAAACTTTTCCTTAGATCCCGCTATTCCAGAGGAATCGGGACAAGGTGGCAGGGTGACTCTTTCTGATCGCCAAAGTCAAGAGGCTCGAAATGTGTGTTTGGTGGGTGGGTGGGTGTCTCTAGCAGACGCAGGTCCACCTGCAGACACAACCATCAGCTCAGAGACACGTTTTTCTCTGAATGGATTCAGCGTCAACACAGATTGCAGATGTGCAAAGTGAGGTCAGAAGGTCAGTCGGTTCCAAAGTAGGATACTGCACCGGGTTGGGTATGTTGAATGGACAGAGAAGGGTGGGCGAACAGAATAAAGAAAAGCTCCGTGAAATCCTAAGTTTTAGAAATAGAAGAAGCGAAGACCAATACGCTCCCTCCCTTTAGTACTACCATGACCTAAATCTAACAGATCTCTCTCCCTTTACAGCTCTGAACAGGCTCCTAAAGTATCTGAAAATCAACATTAAATACGCAGGTTGTCAGATCGGGTACCGGTATTGTGACACCGCTTAGCAGCAAAACACTTCCTTTGACAGGATTTATTTTTCCCCAGCTCCAACTACAGGCACCGAAAGGTATTTTACCTTTTGCCAGTAGTTCAAAGGAGACGCAGGGAAAAATATCCACGTACAGGCGTATCCTGTGGTCAAAAGAAACCTCCCCTCCGGTACCAAAACTGGTCCCCGGAGGCCAGGGCTTTCGCCGAGGCTGGCCCTTCGGGTTCTCGGAGTACCGGACCTGGGCCAAGTGACTGGAGACTTCTCACTCGGTGGCCTCTCATGGCAGGCTGCCGGTTGCGGCCAGCCCTCCCGGCGGCAGGTCGAGCCCGGGCCCCGCGCGTGCTGCCTCCCCTCGCGGCTGCATTGTTTCGCGCGGCAGCCGAGCGCCCACCACAGGCCCGCGCCGCCGCCGCCGCCGCCGCCGCCGCCGCCGCCGCCGCCGCCGCCGCCGCCGCCGCAGTGAGCGAGTCGGCAGGAGCCGGAGCGCTCGCAGCCTCGGAAGTCTCGGCCCCTCCGGGAAAGCTGGGGGGCGACGCGGGCTTGCACTCCCCCAGCTTTCGAACCAACTCTGACCCAGGCGCCCGCGAAAGGCCGATCGCGAAAGAATGGCCAGGCGCGGCGGCTGGAGCGGAAGACCCGAGCCGCCGGATGCAAGAGAACCAGCTCGCCCCTCCAGCCTCGCCAACCCGGACCCCCGGGCTGCCCCGGCTGGCAGAGCGCGCGCCGGTCCCCGACCACCCCGGGAGCTCAGGGCCCGACTAGTCCCGACTGGTCGCCGCTGGTCGCTCCGAGCCGCCGGCGGGGAGGGGGCGGGGGTCGGGGGAGGGTCGCCCGGCGCCGGAGGCGCGGCCGGCAGCGCCGCGGACCCGTCGGCTCGTGCAGGTAGACAGCGAAATAAATAAGTCAGAACAAACTTTGCTTTCCTCTGGCCTTACCTTCCTTCGCAGCCTGCGCCTCCCCTGTGTGTGCAAAGCTGAGCAGCCAGATGTAGCACAAAATAATCCACGAAGGGTACCGAGTTTGAAAAACCATGGTGCATGAGCAGGTTTGATTTTAGGCTGCAGTTGGGTCGCAGCTCTTTAGATGCTGTTTGCTCCGAAGTGGGTTATTATTGTTGTTATTATTGCGCTCCTCGCATCGATCTCCCTTCTGGGTCCCAGGCCGGCTGCTCCACGCTTAGCTGTTTGATTTCTCACCCCCCTCCGGTTCGTTCGCACCGTGTTTGCTGCCTGCAAGTCTCCGACTGCAGACCGGCCGCTTGCTCCACACTCCAATAATATCAATTAGGGGGGAGGGGGCGGGGCTCGGAGCCGAGAGCCTCTGCCACTCCAACTGAGTGGCAGACGCAGCCCGCCTGCCAGGCGGCGATTCCCAGGGCCGGGGGGCGGGCCCCTATGAAGTGGCCGCCTCTACCTCGGAGGCGGGGTCCTGAGCGCGAGCCAATCAGCGCCAAGCGGAGTCGGGTTGCGAGTCCAGGATTCCCTCCCAGTTCGGTTGCTGGGAAAGCGGCGACGGGTAGCGTTAGGCCAGCGGCGTGCAGCTCGGAGCATTTGGCTTTTAGCTACTGCAGCTTCACTGAGCTGGATAAACCCGAGAATAACTCTTGCGACTTACACTCTTGTATATAGCAGTGTGGCTCACGTCTTCTAGAAGGCAGAAGCGAAACAAGCCTTCCCTCACCTACCAATCACCGACCCCGACCGGGACAGTGAAATTGAGCCTATGCTTTTAAGAGTGGCTGTTACTTTTTTGTTAGCAATCTTTGCGGGTTGTATAACGCTGTGTTTTTTGTCCTCTTTCTTTTCTTTGTTTTTATTTTCTTTTTTGAAAAGTTTCAACTTTTGTTCTACAACTCAGGAGATATTTTTGGCTACCACTCCCCTCAATCTCTGGAAGAAGAAAATTAACCAAAAGTGTTTTCTTCTTCCAAACCATTTTTGCCAGAGTTTGCAAGAACCTATGACAAAAGAAACACTGAAAGAGGGGTTGGAGAAAGGAAGTCTTTTGTTTTATGCTTGCCTCTTCCCTAGCCCTATCTTCAGTTACTTTCTTCGGCAAATGGGACCTTAGAAAAACGTTCCCTGCCGTTTTTCTTATAATGCTTCTCATTTTCTGGGGTCTCGCATAGATTGCCCCGCTCCAATCGTTTCCCATTCCGCTGTGTAAATAACATTGAGTTTTAGAGAAAGCCGCCAGGTACTAAATTCACAAAACCATTCCTTCTACTTGGACAAACATTTACTATTTTCTGTAGTTAGTCCATAATTATTCCGTAATTATCGTTCTAAGGGAAGCTAAGACTAAAAATGTAACCAACATTTCCACTTGAATTCATCCAACCCGAGCTGCAAGGATAAGGGCATGGGGAAATCTGTTTTCCATTAGGCAGTGTTGCACACTTTGCAAGCCAAAGGTGGTTGACATTGTAAAATGAAGAACTTAAAAACGTAGTGGCCAAATCATCTATTTCAGGGGTCACGTTAAGTAGATAGGTCACATATTTAAGATGAACATTTTTTATTATTGTTCAATATTTCTTAAGAAAAAAAAAATCTCCTGATGGAGAAAAAGTTTGACCTCAGACTTAAGACTTCCTAGTTGACCTCTCTGGAAATGTGCAACTGGGTCCTCTGGTGTGTGTGCAGAGACTTCTAAGAGACAACAGCCCCCAGACACTTTTCTTTTGTTTTTATGGGTTTTTTTTCCGCTTTTTTACTTGCCTGATATAATTATGCCGAAGACAGAAATGAACTTTCCTTCTTTTCCAACCACTTTACTTCTGTAGTTTATTTATTAAATGTTACATATTGCTAGCCATTAGGTCTATTAAATATTTTAGAAATTATGCTTAAAAGCATCTTAAGTGCCCTTTAAAGATGCATAGAAAATGTAAAATGCTTAATAGATTAATCTTGGAAGGAGACAAAACAATCTAGGCAAAACACACTGGCTACAGAGAAGATGAAGCCTTATTTAGCCAGACAGATGCAATCAGGGTAAAAGTTGGAAGCTCAAATTCAGTATTAAAAATATAAATCTCTACACTTAAGCTTTAAAACTCACAGCATCACAAGTTCATAAATGTTGAACAATTTCTAATAGTCAAAATAAAATTTCCAAGATTTCAACAATTTCCCTAAGGTCTCATCCTCCTAGAGTGTCCCCAAGATAGCCTTGACAATGTAAAATATCCCTTTCATCTATTGAGTGACTTCTATTCAGTGATAGGAATGCAAACACTTCCTAATTAAACCAGAAAGCTGCAGAAGGAACATGTTGTTTCCTCAGGGGAGTGCAAGTAGTGTGGAGCCTGCTGTTAGTGTGACCCTGTTCCCATCACACACAGGCACACTTAGAGTCACACCCTTATTTTTGGAGATGAAAATTTCAGGTTAACTGCTCTTGTTCCAAGCTAGTGACATTCTCCCTGCAGGTCAACACAAAGATGTTTATTTCTAGGATCACCAACCCAGTGGTATGTAAGTGTACTGATAAGGAAGTCAGTATAATGTTTCATAGCATGTCTTAATACATGAATTCATATTAGAATATATTTTATAAGTAGTAGAGCATGTATAAGTCTACGTCCATGTAAAGCTACTGAAATTAAACATTAACAGAAGATTCCATGTTTTAAAATAATATAATAATAAATTTTCTCGCAGCTTTTGGGAAATACTTAATTTTAGTCAGATAGGTATGCTTTATGAATATTATTTCTTGAACAATTTTTAGGAAGTAATGTTGTACATATAGAAAGTGAATTAGAAATTAGCTCATTTTCTTTAGCAGTACCAAATGATATATAAAACCAACATGTCTGACCAAAAAGCAGAAATTTTGAAAACTTTGTTGTTTTTATTTACTCATTATGCATTGTTCTTCATAAAATAACCTATTTAAGTTATAAATTTTAAATACATAGGGATGGATAATAAAACTTTATTTTTTAGTATCTTCTGTTTTGAAACATCTACTAATAAAGGCAGAATGAAAAGATGAAAAATGCCTGTCTTCATATACAAAGATATAGCGAAGTTGTATTCACTTTGTATCATTTCTCTAACAATTTACTAGTAATCACACATAAGCATACATACATGAAAATTAATGCCAATTTAAGTCATATATTGCTAAATGAGAGAGGCAGCTGCTCTTTTCTTTTAGCTTTCCACAATACTAATATTCACCTTAGTATTTTACCTCTGTGAGATAGCTTTGGGTTTTAAGAAGAGAAATACTTAGGAGTAAACTGTAATAACTTCAGAAAGTAAGGTTTATGCATTTTCTAATCGCAAAAACGGCTCTGTGTGTTCCTGTGTGCATATCTAGTCACTGCATCTGTAGAGGCAGGAGAACAGCTGGAGAGCTCAGTACCATACTGTGCCTTGGCTGTCAAACTGAATACTGACCACCAACAAGGTATCACTGAGCTGCCTCTGGACCCACCTCTGTCTCACTTACTGTTCCAAATGCAAATTCATCAAAGAAAAGGGACTATTGAAAGAGAATTGGAAAAGGTACTCTGTAGAAGAAAATCATTAAGAAAAAAAGAAACACTGTATCTAGGTTAGTAGATAGTGAAAATCAAGTTTTCAAATTGTGGTTTCAATTCAAATGTAACCATTTTTCCACTGCCTAGGAAAATCATTTATATATTTACATCAGCATGATTTATGTACTGTATGCAAAACATTTCTTTGCCGTCTAATGTAAACATAAAACACAGAAAATTACTTCATCTTGTCATCTCAGCACCAGACTTAGCAAGCAAAAACCCAAGAATATGCTTTGCATTATTATGAAATTGTATCCACTTGGGGTATTAGATAAATGGCAAAATTCAAAAAAATCACAATCATAATGTTTCTCCTGCAATCATTGATTTAATTTAATATGGATTAGCTGGTAAGAGATAACTGGAGTATTGCTAAGGTGTCATTGAAATGCTCTGATAAAAATATTCAAGTGTTTTTAAAAGTACCACTGTTTGAGTAATATCAAGAGAACTGGTTATTGGAAGAAAAATGTGTCACACATTACTCAAAATCACTTTACATGTGGTTAGTATTCTTAAGAATAAGTTTTTTTTTCTAAAGTAATTTTGCCTGAGGAGGTTCTTCCTATCCAGTATTCACACCCAGTTTTTCTATAAACCACTAGTGTGGATATGAAGACATAGATGAAATTGTGTAAAATACTTCTCCACACTTTCATGGTTTCCATTCTTAAAATTTGTTATGTCTTTATCCAGATGATACTTAGCTGTCAAGGAGAGGAGTGGTAATGCAGTGACCACCAGGGGGCATCAGGTCCTCTGGGTGTCCTGGCCAATCAAGTTCACACTAAGAATTAACTAATTATGAAATACATGTGTGTATATATGTATAATGTGAATATAACACTATTGATACACTTAGGTTCCCTCTCTATATTTACATCCACCTACCAAAGTCCTTCACAAAAAATATTGTGATGTAACCAACTTCATTTTGCAGAGGCCAAGTTAACTGAACAGGCTCAAAAAGGAATCTTAAAAGGTAATATATGTTTCAGAAAAATCTCTCAGTGATTTTTAAAAGTAAACATCTGAGGACTTGGAGCCTCAGATTGTCCTCATTGTAGTATTTCTCTTCCTTACTTTTTACCTAGTTATCTGCAAATCTTTTGCCCGAGATATAGAGCCCCCTTTCTCCCCAGAAAGGGTGTTCTGGGCATGTACTCCTCTACAGATCCTCAACTTTTAAGGATCCCACAGCTCTAACTTGAAGAATATATCAGAGACTTCTTCTCATCCTAGCCATATTCCACATTTAATACTACTACTGGAATTTTCAAGAATGTCTGGCTAATCTTAAAGGGTTCTGTTAAGAGGTCTAAATAATGAGGGAATTCCACATGGCATCTTAGTGCAGAAAAGGTTCTGTTATGAAGCATGAAGTGCATCCATGGTGCCCCCTAGTTGCAAATTTGAAAACTCGTTGAAATGGTCACATTTGTATTAAGACAAAGCAACCTTCCTGGAAGGAGAGGACTCTGACCCAAATTCATTTGAATTTCAAAGTGTTCAAAGTTCAAGAAGATCAGAATTGTCTGGTTGAGACTGAAATGATCCAAAATACCTGAGAAAGGTATTCATGGCAAAGGAAAAAAAAAAAAAAAAAAAAAAAGGACTAAGCTTAAAATGTGGCTAATGGCCTGAATCTTGGATTCAAGGCCTCAGAAACTAGCAACTAGTCTGTTCCTCTTTTCCACATTTAGAGGTGTCCTTTGTTGCCAGAGACCAGAGGCCTGAGAAGTGTTATCCCTCA